CTTTCTTTTCCTTTTTCAGCCGGCCATCCCCCTCTTTTTCATTTTCTTTTGATTTTTGTCCCCCCCAAAATTCCTTAAGCCACCAAGTGTCTAGACACCTAATCCCTTAGGTGTTGTGTTGTCTAAAACACAAAGGGACACTTGTCCCCATGCATGCCCCCCACTTGCCATTTTTATTATTTTTCTTTTTTCCTTTTCCTTTTTTCTTCTTTTTTCCTTTTTTCGTAAAATTTAGTGTAAAAAGTGCTTTTAACCTTAAATCAATTAAAATAACATAAGAGACAAGAAACAAGAATAAAATAAAATAAAAAACCTGAAATTGAAACAAATAAAGTCAAATTAAATTTAAAAAAATAAATAAAGCTTAAAAATCAAAATTTTGGTGTCTACACGGACTCGATGGCAATTCCAACTCATACGCTACATTTCCCACGCGCTGGATAACCTTATAAGGTCCTACAAATCTCGGTTGTAATTTCTTTCCCTTTCCTGCCATCAAACTCGCTTTCAGAGGAGTAATCTTAAGAAAAACTTGATCTCCAATCTCAAATTCCAAATCCTTCCTTCTATTATCTGCATAACTCTTCTGACGACTTTATGCGGTTTGAATCCTCTTACGTACCAACTTCATTTTTTCGTTTGTCTCCTCAATCCAAGGCACTATAGTCGAGTCTAAGATTTTTCGTTCACCTATTTCATCCCAACAAATCGGAGATCTACACTTTCGACCATAAAGTGCTTCGTACGGGGCCATTTGAATTGAAGAATAGTAGCTATTGTTATAGACAAATTCCACCAATGTCAAATACTTACTCCAACTCTCCCAAAAATCCAACACATAGGTTCTCAACATATTCTCGAGAGTTTGATTCGTCCTCTCAGACTGTCCATCGGTTTGGGAATGGTAAGTAGTACTAAAATTCAATCTAGTCCCCAACACTTCTTACATCTTTTGCCAGAATCTTGGAACAAACCTAGGGTCTTTATCTGACACAATACTTAAAGGTATCCCGTGTAACCTGATAATCTCATCCAAGTATAACTTAGCTAACTTCTCCAACGGGTACTTCATACTAATCGACTGCAAATGAGTCGATTTGGTCAATCTATCCACTATCACCCAAATGGCATCATGATCTCTTTGTGTCCTAGGTATCCCTGATACAAAATCCATGGTAATATTTTTCCATTTCTACTCAGGTATCTGCAAAGGTTGCAAAAGTCCTGATAGTTTCTGATGTTCAGCTTTAGCCTGTTGACAAATTAAATAGGTCTGGACAAATTGGATAATTTCCTTTTTCATGCTCTCCCACCAATACAAATTCTTCAAGTGTTGGTACATTTTATTCCCTCCAGGGTGTACCATAGACTTCGATCGGTGTGCCTCTTCCAAAATTTCTTCTTATGCGCTTCATCCTTTGATACTACTATCTGATTCCAAAAGCTCAATATACCATTCGTTCCCAAGTTAAAATTCGACTTTTCTCTCTTTTTGACTTTTTCCAACCATTTCTGCACTTCAGTGTTCTTTTCTTGAGTCTCTTTGATGCGTTCCAACAAAGTGAAATTCACGATAATATTTCCAATGATTACTTTCCTCGGTTCGAGTCTAGGGTTCCACATACCAACCTCCTCCAACAAGTGCATTTCTTTAATCATCAATCTCGCCACTTGCACTTGATGACTCAAAGCATCGGCCACTACATTGGCTTTTCCTGGATGGTAATTTATCGTGCAATCATAGTCTTCCAAGAATTCCATCCACTTACGTTGTCTCAAATTTAGCTCCTTTTGAGAAAACAAATATTTAAGGCTCTTGTGGTCAGTAAAAACGTCAAACGTTACTCCATAAAGATAATGCCTCCACTTCTTTAATGCAAACACTACAGCTGCTAACTCCAATCATGAGTCAGGTAATTTCTTTCGTGCGGTTTTAACTTTCTAGAGGCATACGCTATCACTTTCTCATTTTGCATTAAAACACATTTCAAGCCTTCCTTTGAAGCATCTGTATAGACCACAAAACTATCCTTCCCATTTGGTAAAGCTAATACGGGCACTCTTGTCAAACGTCTTTTCAACTCTTGGAAACTCTCTTCATACTTAGGACTCCATATAAACTTCCCACTTTTCTTGGTTAACTCAGTCATCGGTCCAGCAATTTTAGAAAAATCTTTGATAAATCTCCGGTAATACCCTGCTAACCCTATAAAACTTTGAAATTCAATAGGATTTTCCGGTCGCTTCCATTTAGAAACCGCTTCAACTTTGGTTGGATCCACTTTAATCTCATCCTTACAAATTATATGACCCAAGAATGTCACTTCTTTCAACCAAAACTCACACTGGCTAAACTTAGCATACAACTGATGTTTCCTCAAAGTTTGTAAAACAATTCTCAAATGTTTCTCTTGATTCTCCATAGTCTTAGAGTACACTAGTATATCATCAATGAATACTACCATAAATTGGTCCAGATAAGGCTTAAAGACCCTGTTCATTAAATCCATAAAAGCAGCAAGTGCATTGATCAATCCAAATGGCATTACGGCAAACTTAAAGTGTCCATACCTCGAGTTGAAAGTAGTTTTAGGTATATCCTTCTCCAAAATTTTCAATTGATAGTAACCTGTCTAAGATCCAACTTGGAAAATACTATCACCCCTTGCAATTGGTCAAACTCATCAATGTGGGACAATGAGTACTTAGTCTTAATAGTGATATCATTTAAGTCTCGGTAATTTATGCACAGTTTTAAACTCCCATCTTTTTTTCTTGACAAATAAGACCGGGGTTCCCCACAGTGAATCACTTTCCTTTATAAAACCCCGCTCCAGTAGATCCTGTTATTGCAATTTCAACTCTTTCAATTCAACTGGAGCCATTCTATACGGTGTTTTAGAGATAGGTGCTACTCCTAGAGTCACATCAATCTTAAAAGCTATATCTCTTTCCGAGGGTAAAGACTCTAACTCTTCGAGAAAGACATCTGTATACTCCTTCACTACAGGCATGTCTTCTAATTTCACTTTATCACTAGGGTTATTGATAAGGAAAGCCAAATACCCCTGAACTCCCTTACTTAACATTTTTCTAGTTCGGATCCCTGAAATAAGTGCAGATGAGACTAATCTACCCCTTACATCCAATTCAGGGTTGTCTCTCCTGGAATGCACAATTCTACTGTTTTCGTCTTATAGTTCAACTGAGCATTATAACGGGCTAACCAATCCATTCGTAGGATCACATCATACCCCTTAATCGCTAAACCCATAAGATCGGCCAGTAATTTTCGTTGTCCAACCCATATCTCACAATCCTTATACACCAAATTAGCTAGTAAACTTTGATCCTCAGTAGGTATTCTAACCTCTAAATCATAAGGTAATTTAATTGGTTTCAAGTCTATTCCACTCATGAAATTAGGGTTCACAAAAAAATGCGTTGCACCTGGGTCAATTAAAACTTTAGCTAAACAGTGGAAAATAGGGATCCTACCTTCAACCACCTCAGTCGCATCGGGAATCTTTTGATGATCCAGTGCGTAAACCCTAGCCAGTATTCTAAGTCGACTCCCTCCAGCACTAGTCTGCTTAGACGTTGACTTTTTTGGCCTTTGAGTGCTATCTCCTACCTTCAGCTTACTTGGACAATTCGCAAGTTGGTGCTCGGCACTACCACAGAATAAACACTTCCCCGACTTCCTCCAACACTCATTCTCTAAATGATTTGGTTTACCACAGTAACCACAGTTAACTTGAGGTGTCGCTGCCGAACCACTAGAAGACACTCCTCTCGCTTGAATTGGCCCACTACGACCTCTTCTGGATAAATCTCCCCTTGAAGTTCCAGTAGTTCTTACTCCTCCCATCTTTTTTCCTATCTTGGAAGGTAGGGTACTTTTACTAGCCTGTCCAGAAGTATGACTAGAAAAGTTCCTTTTCTTATTGTGGAAATCCCTAACTTGCATTCTTGTGCTCTCAACTCTTTGCGCTTTCTCTAAAGTTTCAGTAAACATAGAGATTTGGGCCGCAGCCAAACCCTCCTAGATTTCTACATTAAACCCTTGTATAAAATGTCTTATCCTCTTCCGCTCGTTGGTCACCAATTCGGAAACGTACTTAGAAAATTTAGTAAACTTCCCTTCATATTCAGCTACACTAAGAGTTCCTTGTTTCAACTTTATAAACTCATCCTCCCGTTTCTCTTGGATCAGAGGCGGAAGGAACTTCTTGTTGAACTCCCATTTTCCTTTTATCATGTCCTACCAGGCACGTGCTATTCCCTCAAATTGGAAAGCAGCAAAATTCACTCGCCTATCTTCGGTATAGTCTAAGGTGGCAAATATGTTGACCATTCTCTCCAACCAATTCTCCGCTACCTCGGGGTCGGGCTCTCCAGTGAATTTAGGCGGGTTAAATTTCAAGAACCTCTCCGAAGCCCTATCTTCCCCTCTATCCTGGCCCCCAGGCTGGTTAAGTAGCCCTGGACCCTGTCTCTCGGTTAACCGCTCAAGGATATCAGTCATCCTATTAATGGTAGTAGCCACTTGATTACCCTCTAAATTTTCTTGTCCCTGAGTCGCCCAGTTGCTGATCCCTGATCATCTCCGTGAGGTTGGGCTTGCCTAGACCCTCGCGCACGACCTCTACCGCTCCTTCGTCCGTCCATAATTCTAATGGTGCCTAGTCCAAGAAATAAAAGTGATCACGCGAGGAATTTCTTAAAATGAGAGCCAATCTTGAAAACATCAGAAATAACAATAATCAGCATGTATTTACATTTTAAAGTTCATACAATTAGCAAGTCATAGGAAAAATTACAAAAATATAGCACACAGGTGCCACAAAGGTACTTTAAGTCATGCACGACTAAAGTAAAGTCAAGTGCCTCAAAAGTGGGCCACACAATCAAGCAAAATACAATGGCCTTGGCACTAGCATCACCCCGACTATTTCTAATTACAAAAGTCAAAAGGTCGGTCACTCTAAGCCTAGTCCTCAGGGGCTATCAGGTGGAACCTCCTCCTCAGGGTTCTCCTCTGGATCCTCCTCAGCGCCTTCCTGAACTGGACTCTGTACAACTTCCATCACCTCGTCTATCAGTATAGTAGCATCGGCCATGATCCTGAAAGGCCGATCACGAATCTCCTCACCTATCCTAGTAAGTCGAGCCCTAACTCTCTGAAACTCATCATGGGTGACCTCAACCGTAGTCACCTCGCCTGCCAAAGTCTCCTTAAGTTTAGCAATCCTAACACTCTGAGCATTCACCATAATGCTCAGCTCCTCTACCTCCTGGAGCAGATCTCGGTTGGTGTCCACCAACTGACGTCGCTCATCGTCAAGAGCAAATACAAGGTGGTTTGGGTAAGCATATGTCTTCCTACAGACACATCTGGGAAACCCAGTACAGGGTGAATAGCGTACACGAGCTCCTCCGTCCCGTGCGCTATAGTAAATGGATCTAAGAGGTTCTACATGGCCATTAGCAGCAGGTCCTTCATTCCCATTCTCCATCCCTGCAAAACAACCACAATTTTCATATTAGAAACTTAAAGTTACGAATTTGCTCAAATATAATTTAAGGTAAAACTAGGTTATCTCATTCTTGTTCTTAGAAGTAAAGTCTCTAATACATCTCTCAAATAGATCTCTAACCTAGCGCTCTGATACCAACTGTGACGCCCCCACTTCTCTCAAGGGCGAACCCAATGGTATTCGCGAGATGTCTACCCAACTCTCGTCAGGACTCAAGACAATTCAATTCAAACTTAAAGATACAAACCAAATAATACAAGGCTAAAATGAAGAAAAGTCACTTCCTTAACTGAATATCCAAATCTCACAGCATGTTCTCAAAAGATACATCAAGTCCCAAAATACAACCATTAAAAGTTGACTAAACATTTACAACCAAGATTCCAATTAAAAGTACAACCTAGTTGGCTTTTCCAAAATCTTCCAATCCACCTGTCAAGGAAAACAACTCTACGGGGTGAGCGATTGCTCATGAGGCCAAGAAATATACATGCAAGTACGTAATCCAAGTAGCAATCAATTTTATCAAATAAAACAGAAGTATTCAAGTAATTGACAATTTGAGGAAGAAAAGTAAACAGAAACAATTCAAGGATATGGAAGCTCTCAGGAGTTAAGTTCCACTTGCTTTGTCAAAACTCGATCAATTACCTCCCCGCGATGACACTCCGTCAACCGGGTCGGTATTTAGTCCGTAGAAACTCCACTTACCCGTTCTCCGTCCACCATACATACCCAACCGGGCCCGAATTGCTATAAAGGCACTACTATACGAATAGGTCAAGCATGATCTCTCCAATAGATCAAGCTTTTAGTTTTTCTCAAGGCTCACCAAGCTTTCCGACCAAGCCCTTGCCGACTCGAGTCGCAAGGTCGGCCGATGAATTTAGGCGTCCCCCAATTCAGTTGTGTATCGAGAAGATTCACTCCAACGATATATATACAGTTCAGTTAAAGGTCGAGGAGATTTACTCCAATGACATATGCAACCATAGCATATAATTCAGTTCAATTCAGTTCAGATAATTCAATTCAATTCAGGCAATTACATTTGGATTCAGTCAAATGGGAACGAGTGCGATAAAGTACACACTTGACTAAACAGTTATAAATTTTCAGTCCAGAAGCAGCAATTCATATAATTACAACAAAACATGCACTTGACACTCAGCTAGTCAAAATAAGAGAGTGGTGCACAATCAAGTATTTAGGCGTCCCTTGTGAGATCCTCTTGAAGGTCCCCTTGAGTGTCTGACCAATTAATAATTGACTATCACACACCATCATTTAAAAACCCCTAGTTAACAAGGGAGATTGTACACTTGTACAATCTAAGAAAATATCATGAAAAGAGAATTAATTACTCGTAAATCGAGACTCAAAAGTCGGGTTTAAGAACACAAGGAAAAACTAGTTTCCTTCATGAAGGCAAGTCCAAAACAGTCATTTAATCTTGAAGGGACATGAAGAGTTTCTAAAAACTCAATTCCCTTCAAGTTCAAAAATTTCAGTTCTAAGGAGTAATTTTTGAAAAATCATATCTTACACTTTGTAGGTCCAAAATTGGAAAACTTGGCACCATTGGAAACTAGTTCCAAAGTACTAAAAGTTTCTAGAAGATACTTTCCTAAGATTTCAAATGGAAGATACTCAAATTTTGGCTTAAAGGGGCTGACTTGGACTCCCAAGACAGTTTCAGCCTTAGTTTTCGGTAAACTTTGGAAATTCGGTAAAATTCATAGAAAGTGAACTAGCATCTGAAATTTGTACCTCAATTAGAATTCCAATCAAGGTTTAAAATTCAAAAAGCGGAACTAAAATTGGAGTTTCAAGCATCAAGATATAGCAGTCCATTTTTTTCCAAAGTTAGCTAAAAATGAGGTTTGATTGAACATTTTTTTCCAGATTTGAAAAACGGGTTTGGCCCATCATTTAGGTATCGAAATGGTTTTGGATTGATACCAAAATTGGTACAACTCAACTTCCATATGAGGACTGCTCCTTTGCCAAATTTCATTTGAAAATACACACGGGAAGGTAGTTAACTAAACTACCAAAGTTCAAGAAAATCCCAAGACCAATCTGTCTTTTGCTTTCTTCTTACTTTTCAAGCAATTTGCCCAATGAAAATGACTCAATTCTAGATCATTTATGAAAAAAAAGTCTGAGAAACATCCAGTATACATTTGGTAGGTGATTGACATCTAAATTTGTAAAACAACAAGTCCCAAGTCAAACTAGGCCATTCGGCTAGCCAAAATTAGGGTTTTCTATCACTGGTGCTGTTCGGTAATTTGACCACATCTCACTGAATTCAACTTGAAATTGAGCATGGTTAATGGCGTTGGAAACTACATTCAACAGGCTACAATTCCTTAGGAGAAATCATTTTTAAATACAGTTCATAACTAGCTCAAATTCAAGCAACAAGCCTCAGCTCATCACTGACCCTCGAGCAAAGCAATAAAACAGAATAGGTAAATTTGGTGAACTAGTACGACTCACTCACTTCGAATCAGGGGATACATTTTATACCGTTAGAAACTTACAGATGTCTAGGTTCAAATTCCGCTAACGGAACTTGATTTTGACATCTGAGCAAAGAGTTATGATATTTCAAAGTTTACTGCTAGAGAGCCCCTGTTATACGACTTTCCAGTTTGAAGATTTTTGAAATTCTAACTTTTACCCAATCAAATCAAGTGATTTTTGGTGAAAATTTTTCACACATCCTATATAACATATCTACATCAGATTCAAGGTTATTGATCACAAAAAAATTGAGTTATGGCTTCAAGAAAAACAGGGCAGAATTCGGCCTCTCTCCATGCAACTTCCCTTTGATTTTTCTTCCACTTTTCCAACTTATATCCACTTGTTTAACACATAATTAACACCAACAACACACATAATCACCATATCAGTCTAATATATCTATTGTGGGATTTCATAGCGTCCACTCCAATCATTTTCAACCAAATAACAACACCCACATGAAGCTACAAGCTCCAAGGCCAAATTTAACTCACTAAAACCAAGTTTCAAGGGTTGGATGATTACTACCTCTTAGATGATGAAAAATCAGAAATTTTGGGTTACCAAAAGCTCCAAGAAACCATGAGAAAGATGCTTCCTTCCTAGCCCAAGTGAATCTCCAAGTGAAGTGGAAGTGTGTGGTGAATTTGGAATGAAATGGTGAGAAAATTTGAAGTGAAATGAGATGAACTTTGCTCCTTCTTCCTCCTTAGATTTTCGGCCAGCAATGGAGTGAAGAGAGAGAGTGTAAAGGCTGATGGTGAAGCTTCTCTTGGAAGCTTGGTAGTTGGTGGTTTAAATTTGGCACAAAAGTGAACTTTGAATAGTGCGCGTAGGCGCACGTTTCATGCCCGTTTTCTCTCGGGTTCATTTCACTTGTGCACTAAACTTCTAATGCACTTTCTTTAACACTATTATTATTTACTATTAGTAGTCTAACAATAATTTTCTAAAGTCCTTCAATTAGTCATGCGCGTGAAAACGCGAACTCCCGACTTGCGCGCGATAAAGCGCAATTTCTAAAAAATTCTTGTAACGATGATATAACTAACTAATACCAGGGTAATTAATCATAAAAATGCCTATTTTAAATTAACGCATGAGTTCTCAAATCTCCAAGGTCACTGTACTCTCAAATCGACTATTGCCTCCAAACGCGTATTTACTAATTCTCGCTAAACGAATTTTCAAAAATTAAATTTATTAACGGGACATTTTAAAAATATATGCAAGTCATAGTTCCATGTAAATGGTTCTAAAAGGATTGAAATAAATTATTCGGAGAAAATGGGTGGATAATTATTTAAATAAGCCAATAATATGAGTTTAAAATAAGTAAATTTTTTGGTCTTCACAAAACGTGGTTGCGGATAGGTTAGCTACTCTGCAGGGGTACCCCAGTATGGGTTTTGACTCTCTTCAACTTTTACCTAGGGAGGTTCGCGGCTGTATTGCTATGGATGCTACACAAGTCCCGCCCCTTAGGCTAGTGCCTAATTAGGTGGTAGAACTCTCTACATCTCTTGTAACTGTCTTTTTTCCACTTTGAATAAATAAAAATGGTTTGATTCTGTAAAAAAAAAAATTCATGATTTTGGTCAAATTTCAGCACACACTTGTAGGTTAAAATAGTATAAAGTATTTGCAACAAAATCAAGCTTAGAATCATATAAAAATTTCAAAATCAAGGTTGCAACTCTAGCCCTTCCATTCGGCTAGCAAACAGAAATTTTTCCCAATTTTTTTCCCACCATTTCTCCGACTAATTGTCCCAAATTCAGCCTAACTCATCTAATAATTCCATAAGGTTTCACCACCAACACAACAATAGACACATATGTAGCCAAAATTACAACGAGATAGCCACCATAATCATATGCATAATCAAACCCTAGAACTCAAGTATGAAGTATAAGCATCATCAACTTGAAAAACTATCAAGATTAACCACCAAATCATCTCTTTATCCAACAATCAACCTTATTTTCAACATAAGACAAAGAAAGAAGGTTAATTTAGCATTTTACCTCATTTGCTTTCCAATCGAGATGAACTTCCAACCATCAAATCTTCTCCTCTCCAAGCTTAAGCCAAGATGGATGAAAACCCCAAGTTATCTCTTTCCTTTTCCCTCAAAATCCAAGCAAGATTGAAGCTGAATGGAGTGAAGCTTTTCTCCCTATTCTTCTCTCACTCTCTCGGCCCTCTCTCTCTTTCTCCCCTTTGTTGTTTGTTTGATATTTCTAAGGCAAGAAATGGAAGATAAATGGTAGGAAAGGTTTGGTCAAAAGTCTCACTTTGTTTCTATGGTGACACTTGTCACTTTCTAGAGTTCTAGCTCCAAACTATCCCAAGTTTTATTGCACTAAATCCCCTTTTTATCCAAAAGTTCCTTTCACATCCCACTAAAAGGAAAAATCTCATTTTACCCCACACATTAACTTTCACATGTAAAATTTAATAAAAGTATTAAAAAAATAATTATCAAATCAATAAATAAACAAATAGATGACTAAATAAATAAAGTATCATGTAGTTAAACTAGATAAATTGACAAAATTTCTAAGTCCTCACACCCTTAAAAAAATTTTGTCCTCAAAATTCTCACCTTGTTTGCAAATAAATCGGGATATTTCTTTTGTATTTTTCCTCTACTTCCCAAGTTGTTTCTTCTAGCTCGTGATTCTTTCAAAGAACTTTAATCAAGGGAATTTGCTTGTTTATTAGCTCTTTCACTTTTCGATCTAGAAGTTGCACTGGTCGTTCCTCATAGGTTAGGGTCTCGTCAATTACAATATCTTCCGGCGGGAGCACATGAGTTGGATCTGGATGATACTTCTTCAACAATGAAATATAAAAAACATTATCGATTCTGGACAAACTCACAAGTAACTCTAACCGATAGGCAACTTTTCTTACTCGTTAGAGAATTTTAAAGTGTCCCCATGATACACCGAATTTTAGGATGTTGTTTTTAAAGAGGATACTAAGGTTTATTTCTTTGGTTTTGTTTTACAGTCTTGTTTTGTCTTTAATGACTAGAAACCTTAAATTTTCATCAAAACTTGTGACTAAAAGATTGTTGTTTAATTGAGTTTATGTATCATAGTGCATGCTTTATGATAAGTAATTATAATAGGTGGGTGGTTAGTAGGCTCGTAAGGTGGAATGAAGCTTGATGGATTGTGAGATTTTATTAAGTGGGTGATCTATGGAATTGTAAAATCCCTCATATTTTTCTTAAAATTCCTTTTTATTTGGCATTTATTCCTTTATAATAGACTTACTACTCATTCACTCCCTCAGTAGTTGCAATCAACCATAGAATAAAGGGTTTTTCCTTTAGGTTCCTAGTTCGGGTAAATTAGGGTTTTCGCTTATTTTGGCCGTGTGATCAATTGGTGAGGTGTGTGTACTAGATTTGGTGGTTAAAAGAGAGTTTTATATAAGAAAAAGTGTGTAATTAGAAGTGATAATAATAAGTGAGTGGATCATAAGTTAAAATCCTAGTACATGTGAAATAAGGAAAATTGGGTTGAACCGATGTATACCGTTCGTTACCGATTGAGTGCACCACTTGAACACTACCTTATTACCTTAATACCCTAACTTTTATTTTAGCTAATTGACCCTAAAATATCTCTTAAACCAGCCACAATCTTTGACCAAAGAAAAAGGACAAAAAGAAAAAAATTGAGAGTTAATCCTACGGCGACACTTGGCAACCATCCAAGGGTTATTTGACCAAACTAATTTCAACCTTCTTATCTTTCCTTGAGCTTCATTTCAACCTTCATTCCTTCATGGTTGGCCATGAGTTTGAGAGAGAAAAGAGAGAAGAAATTCAACACTTTCAATCTTGATTGTTGACTTAGTTTGAGTTGAATCAAAAATCTAAACCAATTAAACTATCACTTGGGAGCTTAGGAAGCTTTGTATGGTAAAGTTTTGGAAGGAAAGGTTGTGGTTTCTCTTACAAGCATCCTTGGTGAGGTATTATGGCTGCCTATTCTTTTCCTCTTCCTTAATCTTGTTTAAGTTTGGATAGAAACTCATATTCTTGGTTTATGACGGTTAATTAATGAGGTTTGCATGATATGGTGAAATATTTAATTAGGGTTTGATATTTTCAGTTGTGATTCTTGTTTTTTTATCTAGTATATGATGTTGGTAAGCTTGGATAGAGACTTGGGGTATTGATTTGAGACACAAATGTGAATTTCAACCATTGAATTATCAAATTCCAGAAAGTTGAGACCAATCTGTCTTGTTTCTGACTTATTTAATTCATCCATATTAAAGGCTGAATCAGGCCAAGATCAAAACATAAAAGTTGTATAAAATGGAGTTATATAGCTTCCTGTAAAAGTTTAGCTCAATCAGAGCACTGTAGCTTGTGAAATGACAAAAATACCCCTAACTGCCAAATGCACTGTTTCGTGAGCAGTTTTGAGATTTCACAGTTTTGGCTTCATTTTTCACTTGGATCCGTATCAAATCAGCTTTTGGTCAAAACATGACACTTTTAGTTCTATGTTTTAGCTTTCCAACGCATCTAAAAATGTCTCGATCGGGCTTTTGTAGCTTGCGTTATTACTATTTGAATCCAGTGCTAACAACCAGACTGACAATGAAATTCTGGTTCTGTAATCTGCAAATTTGACCTAGATCAATTGTGAACTGGGTTGACTTGTCTACATAAAAGGTGTAGCCCTTTGTCTTAGCTTCGAAATGCTATCTAGTACACCTTGATTTGATAACTACAGCTCCAGTTATGGTCGAAACCATGCAACCCGTTTTCATACCATTTTCCATCGCGCGCACCGTTTTCATTTCCCCGTGCGCGCGCATGCATTTCTTGGCCGTTTTTTCTGTTTTGGCCATTTAGGCCTTATTTCCATTATGATGGTTGTTTAACTAATAGTTAAGTATAATCTTTTATCACAGGCAGTCACGACCCGGATGGAGTCGGTGGACCCGTATAACTTGCCTTGATTTGCGTGCTAGTTGTTTTGGGTGAATAATTGGGTTTGTTCATGTGATAAATTATCAAAGTGCTTTGTATATATTAAATGGGTACTTAGGTGAGGGTGTATATTATCTCACTGGACCTAAACCCACTCTTTGCTCTTGATTTAATATGTGAGAATACATGTCTTATGTTGAGCATCACCCTTGTGTTGTGTGCTGTTGGGGTGATTATGTGACTTGAGTATTTTGATGAGTACTTTGTTGAGAGGTATCCTTTGTGAGAAATTGGATATCTCAGGGCTTGGTTCCATCCCGATTTCAGGGGTAGACGGACTATTCGAGTCGGTCGGGACTTGGTCGAAGTTAGTTCTATGTTAACCTTAGGATTTCGTTCTTTGTTAAAGCTAAGTGCTTTTGTTTTGCTCGAGCTGCTGTGTGTTGTTGGCTAGCCAGCGGGGGTTGATAAGGTGAACGGGGAAGTAAGTGGAGTCTACGAACTATGAGTATTTTGGTTGACGGAGTGTCAACAGGTGGACAAGCTCAGGGAATTGAACTGGCTTTGAAGCCACTTGTATCCTATCATTGTGATGTTACATTTTTATTTATTGATGTGAAATAACTTGGTTTACATGTTTATTTGGATGTGATTTTACATTTTTACCCCTGATTATTCACTAAGCATATAGGTTACCCCATTTCATTTGTTTTCCTTAGCAGGGGCCGATGTGGGGATCACTCGGGTAGGTGTATAGACTTTGGTTTATAGAATATTTGATTTTGCCCTAGTACTTGTTATAAGTTGACTAGTAAGATGTATATATTTGTTATGGTGGTTGTAGTTAGTAGCTTCTCTAGGGTTTACTTTCTGGTACTAGTGGTGTGTATGGGTTGATGTAATAGTTTATACAACTTTTGAAGATGTAATAGTGTAAATGGAACTCTCTTTTGTGTGAAGTCTATTTTCTTGTTTATAAGTATCGAGTCCTGGCGCAAGTTAGGTAGACGATCCACTAAACCCTTTGATACGCCTCTGGGTACAGTGGGGTCGTCACAGTCCCACATATCTCAGGTTTGACTTCTTGCCCTTTCCGATCGTGACATTTCTTAGTGGTGTGATCTTAAGGAACACTCTATTCCTAACTTCAAATTTCAAGTCTTTCCTCCCGATTATCTGCATAACTTTTCTATCTGCTTTGGGCTGTTTGAATTTTTTGTCGTATTAACTTCACCTTTTCATAAGTTTCCTCGACCCATGGTACCATTGAAGAATCTAAAACTTTTCTTTCTCCTGCTTCATCCCAATAAATCGGTGATTGGCATTTCCTTTCATAGAGAGCTTCATACGGAGTCATTTGGATGGATGAATGATAACTATTGTTACATGCAAACTCATCCAAAGTCAAGTATTGACTCCAATTTCCACCAAAGTCCACAATACATGCCCTTAACATATCTTCAAGGGTTTGAATGGTCCTCTCCGATTGCCCATCTATTTGGGGATGATAAGTCGTACTGAAGCTTAATTTGGTCCCTAAAGTTTCTTGCAATTTTTGCCAGAATTGAGATACAAATCGAGGATATCTATCAGAGACTATACCCACCGGTACTCCATGTAACCTTACAATTTCATACAAATATAGTGTAGCAAGTTTCTCCAAGGAATACTTCATATTAACGGGCAAGAAATGCGCCGACTTAGTCAAACGATCCACAATTATCCAAATTGCATTATGCCCCTTCTGTGCCCGTGGTAACTGTGTGCCCGTGGTAACTGTGAGAACCCGCATTTTTGCATTTTCTAGGTTTTATTATTTTTCATGGCTTATTTTCTGCATTTTTGTGCTTAGGAAAAATTCTAGATAATTTTAAGGAGCAGATATAATTTTTAGATGATTTTTCTATTATCGAATAGGTTTTGAGAAATTAAGAGTGTATACCGGATGTGGGACCCGTTAGTGCGAAAAGTTCAGAAAAATTCGGCCAATTAGGTTAAGTTTTGGATACTGGAATTAATTTACCGGGTGTTGTGAGATATTTAGAGGTACCAAGTGGATAGGTGTATGAGAGACAAAAAAAGTTAGGCAAGTCATTAAATGAGGTGACAAGTGTCACCATTGTTTGGTTTGAGTTGTCTACAACTATTCACCTTTTGACCTTTTTACCAAATTGGTTAAAATAGCTTAAAATTGACCAAAAATCTTCAAAAAACATCAAGAAGTGGCCGGCCCTCTCTTTCTCCCTTTCTCTCTCTCTTACTCCAAGCACAAGGAAGAAAACACTTCAATCTTGTTCCAAATCATCAAAACTAGCCATCCAACCTTGAAATTACTCCATAAAACCTCTTCAATTAGAGTTAGTGAGTGGATTTGTGGAGTTGTTTGGAAAGTTAAGGTGGTCAATAGCTCTCTCTCTCTTGTTCTTGAGGTAAGTTGTGAAGAACCACCCTCCTCCTTTAATTGATGCTTAAATCATGCTTAGTGGTAGTAAGAGATGCAAGTTTATGGATTATTTCTTGATTTGTGGTTGAAATGATGAAGTTTTATTATTTTTGGGGATTTTTCTGTTTTAATATAAGCATGATTGTGTGGCTATCTATGATGATTAGAAATGGTATCTAATGACTCTAGGAGGTGGAAAAAGTGATTAATTGCAACCAATTTCTGGTTTGGAAGAAATTTCAGAAAACTAGGGTTCTTGAGGGGGCATTCTGTCCGAAATTTTAGGTCCTAGTTAGAGGCCGAATTGGCCTTAACTTAAAACATGAAAGTTGTAGGGAATGACATTTTAGAGGTGCCTACAAAATTTCAGGCCAATGAGAGTAGTGTAGAATGAGATAAGTCGAAATTACTATTGCTGTTCTGGTTTTACCCGAAATTGAGAAGTGCTTCTGTAATGGGTTGTTTTGGCTGGAATTGCTTCCGAATTGGCTGTTGAGGCCTTCTGATGAAATTTATCCCTGTTCCTTAGCTTTCAGCTGGTTTTGGAATTTCTGGATTTGGACTTGTAGAGCCTGAGTTATGATGTTTCCGCTAGAATGCATTTTGGTGAATCTGTTTTACGTTTTTGATGTAGTATCTTGCATTTTTGACCTGTTTGCACTCAAAACTGGGTTGAGTGACCTTCTGTGATGTTGTAACCCTGTCTTTTAGCTTCGAAATGGTGGGTCTTGCACCCTCATCCGATAATCTTAGTGAAATTGGTGCCATTACCGCAAAACGAGGACAAAAACTATTTTTTTTTAGGGCCAAAGCTAATTACATTTCCAAAATTTCTGGTTTCCTTTAATGTTTGTATATGCTTATGGAACCCTATTGGGGTCATGTTTGGCCTTGGTTTATGACTCGTTATCGAGTCTCATTGTATTTGTTTGCATGTTTTAGGACGTGACCGTGGTGCACAACGTTCTTTTGACGGAAGTGCATGAAACCACATTTGCGAGCTTGGTGAGTGTACTACTCACTTGTGTGCTATTATATGGCTTTGATAGTTGAACTTGAGATGTTGAATGTTAATTGATTGAAGTGAGAGTGTACTTTATCATTCTCACTTATTGTTTCGCATGTTATTGAAAAGTTATTGGAATGTTATATGAAATGTTATATGAAATGAAATGCATGACTTGGTGTCGTTTGGACAAGTCTCCAACGACTACAAATGTTATCAATGAGCTCAACCCCATTGGTAATTGATTGAATCGAGCCGGCGAGGGCTTGGTCGTGCCAATTAATGTGCCATGGGGCAATGTTATATGGAATCTTGTAGTATGAGAGACTCTCGATTCCGGTTTACTCGAGTAATACCAAAGTGCAAGTGTTTGATTTCGGGCCCGGTTGGGGAATGTTAGGTGGAAGGAATGGAAGTAAAGTGGAGTCTACGGTTGGTTATTGTGGAACATTGACGGAGAGTCAATGACATCCGATCAAGAAATGCAAACGAGGAAAAGGGCTCTTGAGAGCCATCTGTATCCTTTTATCACCATATTTGACGTGTGCCTTTGCTTATTTTACTATATTGAATGAAAGTTTGATGCTTATATGCAATTGGTTGTGTAAGTGATAGTATCTCACTGGGCAATTAGCTCACACCGTTCCTTTTGTTTTCCTTACAGGCATATGACTACTTTTGGAATGATTCTTGCTAGTTGGTTGCTGAATGAACTAGATAAATATTTCTTTTGTATTGTATATGAAGTGGGACCCTAAATGTATCTTTAGGGCCGTTTTCACTTTAATTTGGCAAACCAAACATGTAGTAACTTTTGGATTACTTTTGTATGCCATTGTGGCTTGAAATTGCAAAATGTCAAGTGTATATGTGTTTTAATGTTTGGTTGGGTTCTGACGCATCGGTTACTATTCATGGCCGACTCCGGATTTCATTTTTTTTTATTTTGGGTTATTTTGCCCTTTTGCCTTGTTTACGCGCGTTTATAAGTTCCGGAACGAAATAGATCGCTCTAAACTGCACCGTTAGTCCTGGCGAGAGTTGGGCAGGCAGTCCGCTAACCTCTTTGGTTCGCCTTAGGGGAAGGTGGGGCTATCACAGGTGGTATCAGAGCCTAGGTTTGAATTAGCCTGGGTGTTATAGGAATGCTTGATTTGAGGGTTTATTGTTTATGGCCTTTAAGCTTATTGATGCTTATTTACACTTTTGGTGTAGGATGGACGGATCTAGTGGACCGAGTAATGGCCCTGCAGGCGAGCGACCCCGTGTAGCGCTCCCGGTGATTCCGTACCAGATTCGGCCGAGAGGGGCCATCTTGCGTTGGAGTCCGGCGAGTCGCCTTCGTCGGTGTGAGTGTCGCCACGCCTACGCCTACCCTAACGCCTTAGTGTTGGCCGTGGCAAAGGAGCGGAAGGCGTTGGCGAAAGATAACGCTAGGCTTGAGACAGAGGTGAAGCAATTGAGGGCAGATAATGAGAAACAAGCTAAGCGCATTCAGGATTTGAAGTACGATGTACTTGAGGTTGAGGATAGAGGTGATGATCTCTGTACCCAGCTTAGGGAGGCGCGTGAGCGCGAGTCTAAGAGGGCTCGAAAGGTGAAGAATCGAGCCGCTGCGATCCTGAACCTCTGCGCCGAGGTGGTGGAGGGAGTGAGCGACGAGGACTCCTGTGCGGGGTCTGAGGCTGGGGTTGGATCCACTCCGTCGGGTGGGTCTCATAGCTCATCATCGGTCTAGGTTACGACTCCTAGAGTTGTTGTGGATAGTTTTGGTCTTGTATATAGGGCGGATAGGGAGTAGGGCCTTAGCTAATCATTTTGTACGGCTAGATTAGCTACGTGTATATTTCTTTTGATGAGGCCATTTCCTTGGGGATTGTCCATGCTTGTACTTGATTTGACTGATTGTATATATGTGTGTTGTTTGTCTTGTTTGTAATGTATATATGTGTGTTTGGAAAGTTTTGAGTATACTTACATGCATTGTTTTATATTAGTTTAGTACCATTGCCTAGATCATATAAAGTATGGAAGGAACACGTAGTGGACGGGGACGTGGGCGCGGAACTAGACAACTTACACCGGATAGGGGTACTGGGGAAACCTCTACTGGACCTAACCCTGACCCCAATGTGCAAATCGCTGCCGCTATGCAGCAAATGACTAACTTGCTAGCACAAGTGGTGCAGTAACAAGGCCAGAATACAAACCCTAATCCTGGAAACCCCGGAAAACCCTAGTAACCACATCGAGAGTGAAGACATAGCTCTTGAACGTTTTCAAAAGTTTGCTCCACCCAAATTCATTGGGGGAACTGATCCGGATGTTGCCGAGCGATGGCTCGAGAAAATGGTTGATATTTTTGCAGCTTTGCACTACACCGATGAACGGCAGGTGACTTTTGCCGTTTTCCAGTTCGAAGGGGCGGCCCGTTCCTGGTGGAACGTCATACGACAAAAATGGGAACGGGAACAAACGTCCAGGACTTGGGTGAATTTCATCAGAGAATTCAACGCGAAATTCTTCCCTCCTCTAGTTCAGGAGAGGAAGGAAGATGAGTTTATTCGACTCCGGCAAGGGGCTCAATCGGTGGCGGAATACGAGAGCCAGTTCACCCGTTTGTCCAAATTTGCGCCTGAGCTGATCATGACAGAGCAACGGCGAATCAGGCGTTTCATTCAGGGCTTGAACGTCGAACTTCAAAAGGACCTCGCAGTGGCTCAAATCAATGCTTTTAGCGAGGTCGTAGAAAAGGCCCAAAGGGTAGAGAGTGCTCGATTGCAAGTTCGGAACTTCCAGACCAAGAAGCGAGGCTTCCCTGGAAGTAGCTCCGGACAAGGGGACAAAGGTACTCCCTCCAAGTTTGGACGTGGAGCTGGAGGTGGGCGACAGTTAGGTTCTGGCAGAGGGGCTCAGTTTAGGGGCGGCCCAGCCGGGAGAGGCCAAGGTGGAAACTTCCAGAGGGGCTCAGGTTCGGCGTCTCGTGGACCTTGCGGGTACTGCGGAAAGCCGAATCACTCTGAAGACAATTGCTGGAAGAAGGGAGGCAAATGTCTGCGTGGCGGAGGCGCAGACCACCAGCTTGCTACCTGCCCACTCATAACGCAAGAAGGAAGGGGAACTCAAACCACGTCATAGACCAACACGGGACCGAATAAGGGGAATGAGGCGAAACCTAAAGTGCCAGCTCGAGTCTATTCCTTAGAACCTCGACAGGTCCCAGATTCCTCAGAGGTCGTAGAAGGTACGATCCCTATTTTCCACTGTTTTGCCAAAGTTTTAATTGATCCCGGTGCCACCCATTCCTTTGTTAACCCTGATTTCATGTGTGGCATCGATATAA